CCCCTGTGATTTTCTGTCGTCATGATTGTTCCAATGTGTCCAATCACCTGCACCTCCCTAGGGTATTTAAGCTGTGTGTGTCTCTTGTAACTGTTGAATGTCTGGAAGTCTATGTCAGTGTTCCCGGTTCCTGTCTGCGTTTTTGCCCCTTGGTATTTTCGCTTCTGGAATTTTCGACTATTACGTCTTTTTGTTTTTGAAACTCTGCTCTTGAGTCCTGCCTTCCCCGCCCATCCTGACACATTTAAGTTCATCTTTGTGTTAAGAGTTTTAACAGATGATGTTTGTATTTTATCTTCACCTGTTTGTGTTTAATACATTCTGTAATGTTTAATCATTTTATGCATCAATAAACTTGCAGCTCTAAGCAGTGTTTCCTACAGTAATTTCTTTAATTAAATAAATACTAGAGATTACAGGAACGTATGTCCACATGCTCCTCCTGCATCATATTAGTAACATTCATCTAAAAATATTTTAAATCAAATTAAAATTAAACTATCTTTGAAATAGTTAAAGTAGTCACTACAGTTAAGTGTCTTAAAGCTGAATTATTTAACTAGCCACATATAGTCTTTGATAAAAAGTTGTACGTGAAGTATTTGACCTGCTGATGTTTCTTTCTAAATAAACAGGAATAGATCACAGCAATGGTGTCATGAACTCCTCCTCGTGAGTCCTGCTGGTGGAGGAGTTGCAGTTCCTCGGGCCAACACACCTGCTCCTGATCACAATCAGCGACAGGATAAAGTGTCTAAAGTGCGTATTATAATTAGTGATGGCGAGATGAAGCTTTATGAAGCATTGAAGCTTTCCATCCAATTGGAATCCAAGATGGCGCCGTTGATGGCCGCCACGATGCTTCGGTGCGCTTCGTTTTTTGTTGTTAGGACTGCTACTGACAGTCTGGATGAGTTCACAGAGGCTGTAACTTCCTACATCGGCTTCTGTGAGGACAGCTGTGTACCATCATGCACCAAGGTGAGTTACAACAACGACAAACCCTGGTTCACAGCGGAGCCTGCAGAAGGATCAGGCATTTAGGAGCGGGGACAAAGACTTGTACACAGAGGCAAAATACAAGTTTAGCAAGGCGGTGAGAGATGCTAAACAACTGTACTCTGAGAAACTCCAACAACAGTTCTCAGCAAGTGACTCTGCTTCGGTTTGGAGAGGCCTCAAACACCTCACTAACTACAAGCCAAAAAACCCCCACTCCATGAATGACCTCCGCCTGGCAGACGAGCTCAATGAGTTCTACTGCAGATTCGAAAGACAATGTCCTGATCCCATCCCCCACAGCTCCACCACCCTTCTGCAGTCTCCTCCCCTCCCTCCCCCAGCCCATCAGGTGCTCACGCCTCTTCATCTATATCATCTTCCCCTCCCCCACCAGCAACGACCCTGTTTATTCTGGAGAGAGACGTTAACCGGCTCTTTAAAAGACAAAATCCCCGTAAGGCAGCCGGTCCGGACTCCGTCTCCCCTCACACCCTGAAGCATTGTGCTGACCAGCTACCTCCGGTGTTCACTGACATCTTCAACATCTCCCTGGAGACATTACATTACATGTCATTTAGCGGACGCTTTTATCCAAAGACATGCCGCGTACCAGTCTGCTTCAAGGCCTCCATCATGATCCCTGTTCCCAAGAAGCCCAGGATCACAGGACTCAATGACTACTGACCCGTCGCCCTGACCTCTGTAGTCATGAAGTCTTTTGAAGAGCTAGTCCTGACCCACCTGAAGTCCCTCACCGACCCCCTCCTGGACCCCCTGCAGTTCGCCTACAGAGCCAACAGGTCTGTGGACGATGCTGTCAACATGGCCCTCCACTACATCCTCCAGCATCTGGACTCCCCAGGAACCTACGCCAGGATCCGGTTTGTGGACTTCAGCTCTGCCTTCAACACCATCATCCCGTTTCTGCTGCAGGACAAACTCTCCCAGCTGCACGCGCCCGACTCCACCCGCAAGTGGATCACAGACTTCCTGTCTGACAGGAAGCAGCACGTGAAGCTGGGGAAACATGTCTCAGCCTCTCGGACCATCAGCACCGGTTCCCCCCAAGGCTGCGTTCTTTCCCCTCTGCTCTTCACCCTGTACACCAACAGCTGCACCTCCAGTCACCAGTCCGTCAAGCTCCTGAAGTTTGCGGATGACACCACCCTCATTGGACTGACCTCTGGTGGGGACGAGTCCGCCTTCAGGTGGGAGTCTGACCATCTGGTGTCCTGGTGCAGTCAGAACAACCTGGAGCTCAACGCTCTAAAGACAGTGGAGATGGTTGTAGATTTCCGGCGGAACAGAGCCCCACCCTCCCCCATCACCCTGTGTGACTCCCCCGTCACTATTGTGGATTCCTTCCGTTTTCTGGGCTCCATCATCACCCAGGACCTCAAGTGGGAGCTGAACATCAGCTCCATCACCAAGAAGGCTCAGCAGAGGTTGTTCTTCCTGAGGCAGCTGAAGAAATTCTCACCTGCCAAAGACAATGATGATCCACTTCTACACGGCCATCATCGAGTCCATCCTCTGCTCCTCCATCACCGTCTGGTACGCTGCAGCCACAGCCAAGGACAAGGGCAGGCTGCAGCGTGTCATCCGCTCTGCAGAGAGGGTGATCGGCTGCAATCTGCCGTCCCTGCAGGACTTGTTCGCTTCCAGGTCTCTGAAGCGTGCTAAAAAGATCGTGGCCGACCCCTCTCACCCCGGACAAAAACTGTTTGTGCCCCTTCAATCTGGCAGGAGGCTGAGGTCCATCAGGACTAAGACCTCCCGCCACACGAACAGTTTCTTCCCATCGGCTCATCAACAGAGCCCGGTCCCCCACTGACTGACCACCGGTTACTCCCCTTCACACTGCACATGCCACTTTAACTGTGATTTATCACTTTGTCGTCACTCGTCACTTTGTTAATTGTTCGTTAGTGCACTTTATGCTTAATATATATATTTTTTTTTAACTTTTTTAATATTTAAAATTGTTAACTTTATTCCCTTATACTAACCCATAGCCTTATTCTACTAACCCATTGCATTAGCATTTCATTTTACTTTATTTTATTACTTGTGCACTGCTGTCTTGTCTGTCTACTGTCGCGTACCAACCGCCAAGACAAATTCCTTTCTATGTTTGGCATCTTTTGGTAATAAATGTTTCCTGATTCCTGAATTGTGTCACACGTGGGCCGAAGCGTCACGGTGCTTCATTTGCTCTACTGCGCCATCAAGTGGACAATAAATGAAACGACACCACGGCTTTGCTGTGTGAACCATTGAATCGAATAAATGAATGAATGACTTATGAACGTATTAATATGCTGTCTGTCTTTATGATACAATGGCGGCGTCAAAAGGGGAAATGGAAACGAATTGGGGAGAGGGTTGTGATGTGAGAAGTTTAAAAAAAGAAAAGAATTGAGCCATTGAGCCACTGCCAAATACATATTGACTTCTTGGTTTGTGCCTCTACTTATTTTACTTGGTTTGTGTTTGTGCTCATGTTACTAGGAACAAAATGGAATATTTTCATTTATTTGATATTCCACGTGCTTTAGAGAAAACCCTTTCTCGTGGAGCAGATGAAGCTGGGGTACGTAGAAAAGTCACAGCAAGTTCATACACGTTTGATAATCTTTTCTGATGTTCTTCTCAACACTCCAGGGGGTTCTCCAAACGTCCAAGGTTTGGTCCACCTTGGTGGGTCTCCTTGTCCTCATGCAGGCCTCTATAATGCCTCAGCATAGATGACGTGTTGTTGTTGTATCCAAGCTCCCTTCAACACAACAGACACTTCACCTTTTAAAATACCAGAAATAAGAAAGACGTTAGAACAAGCGATACGCGGTGTCAGATTTATTCACAGTAATTATTTACTAGTTATTAAGTCTCCTCTTTCCTGCTGGTTCCGTCACAGAAAAAATAAGCTCGAATAGTTTGCAAACAAACGCGCAATAAGGTCCGAAGTGCACCAAATGTAGCCGGGGACTCACTGCGTTTCGCCGCCCGTTTTTTTTATTTCGAGTCGCGCGCCAGACGCACGAACCACTTCCTGAATCAGTCACGTGGTGCGGCCGGTTCGCGAGGCTTCGAACGTCACCACATACGTCATCAACACGAGCCTCGACACGCGCTTCGTGGAAATCTTCCTGGATTACTCGACACGAGCTTCGAGGCCTCGGCGCGAATGTCCTCGTGACATCTCGGTGGGTCATAATTAGTCACGTGACGTTCGTGTCGAGGCTTCGAACACACACACGCGCGCGCGCGCGCGCGCGCACGTGCAAGAGGACGAAATAACAGCATCCATTCAGCTGAGTTCTCTCCAGGAAAGTCAGTGATGGTTTTAAAGGAGGACGAGCTGCCACTGATACAACTGATCTGTGTGTGAGATGGAATCAGGTGGCTGAGGATGACGAGGGGAATCTGTCACAGCAAAGACTCATCGCTCAGCGTGTGAATGATGCTTTTCTGTCTTCTGGTCGGTGGTTAACAAGTGACACTGACAGCGCACGTGTTCATCGTGCATCTTGCACTGTGCATGTAATCATTGGCACGTAGTCGTCTCATCACAGGTAACAGGTAGCTTACTTTATGCTACCTGTATTTAAGGTTTATATTGTACTTTTATAAAATACGTTATTGTACAAAGACAATACAAAGAAGTTGATGTAGTCAATGTGATGTCACCCGTCGGTCTTTGTACCACAATGTTGAATCTTCAACATGTTGAAAAAGATATTTGTTCTCAGTGTAAAACCCGGAGGCCAAACTCTCCTGGCTCTGACGTGGTAGGGCTGTCAACCAATATTTTATATGGGATTATTCCATGTTTCAAATGTTGACAAATACACAAAATATTGGCTATTTATGAAATGTATTTTTAATATAATAAAAAGCGTATAGCCTTCTTTCCAGTGAGAGTGTATCTTTGCCCTCCAAGCACAGGTAGGAGTGAAGTTGATACGCGGACACACAAAGACTTTCCGACGATTCAGTTGAAGTTTGTGATTTTATTGCATTAAATAGTATAAACCGATGAACCTGTGTTCCCCACTTCCTGTCACCTGTGCCCCTCATATCCAACCACGTGCATCTAATCACTGCCACCTAGTGTCCAAAATACTATTATAAATACATCCAAACTAAATAAAATATCATGCCAACAATAAACGTAAATGGCTCCTACAGCAGCAAACAGAAGAAACATGGTGAACTTAAAAATGAGAATTTGTAGGAACCCCCCCCCCCCCCCCCTTATTTTTGGGGGTCTGTTTTAAAGTTACTAGCATCTCATACATGTGCTGTGGTTCAGTCCATCTCAATCTTGCCACAGCCGCCCTCTGCACAGCTTCCACCCCCTTGTATGTTCCCCCGTGACCTTTCCCCCCATCACAGACTCTTCCCGGCTGTGGACGAGCTGTCAGGTGAGCAGATTCATGAACACTTGGTGCGTCGGCTGACTCTCCCGTTGCGTAATAAGGACGATTGGGTTCACTGGAGGTAAAAAATACTCCCATAAATCTGCTCTCCTCTGGAGTATTCATAGACTGAACCCTCTGCATCCGCATTTGGTCCCTAAACGCACCGTCGCTCTGGAGACGCCGGCGGTTCACCACCAACCACCAGAGGTCTCAGATCCTGCAGAGGAGAGAGGACCACAGGCATCATCAAGTGTGGAGGAAACCTTTTTACGGAAGCAGTGAGAGAGAAGAGCACAGGTACTCCGTTACGCTCCATTACATCACTGCAACAACTTCCCTAAAAATAAAAAAAGGAGGCAGACGCGTGAGCCGCTAAAGAGGCGGATGGAGGAGAAACACACAGCGTGAAGCTGCAGCTGACCAGCAGAGAGCGCTGAGGGTCCAGCACGGCAATTTTATTTGTATTTCAACAAGAAGGCAATTCAAAGTGCTTCACATAAAACCATTAAAAACATCCAAACAAAAAGCAAGGAGATGTATAAACAGTTAAACATGAAAGAAAAATGGACATTAAAATGATAAAAAATATTTGAAAAAGAATAAAATTGTATGTAATCTAATTTAAGAATGTCTTTAAGAATTCCGACTTACAGAAATTTAAGGCAGCAGCAAAAAGAAAAGTCTTTGATTTGGATTTAATGGAGCTGAGGGACCCAGCAGACCTGCAGCTTTCTGAGACTTTGTTCCAGATACGTGGAGCTGAAAAAGGCTGCTTCTCCATGTACGTAAAGCCACGGCGGCCTACAGAGAGGAGAACAAGAAGGTACGCGCCTCCTTTGTGGTCCTCTCCTTTACGACGCATTCGACTGGAGGCCGGATGCTTCTCGGGTTTTTCTGTCGGGCCCCACAAACAAAAAGGTCCATGCTGAATTTTTATTGAAATAACGACATTTTGTGAGCTTTTATTAATAATAGAATAAGTCAACACAAAGCATTACTGTAAGTTTAACTAAGTTTCAAGTTGAAAACATCTTGTCAGAGCTCTTTGAGGTAAAGAGAAGAAGTGAGTGGAACTAAACAGGGCTGTGATGTTTTACAGTGCGGTTCGATCCGGGTTCTCTCCATAGTTTGCATGTCTCAGTGTCCTTGAGACTCTGAAGCTTCACAGCAGCTCACTGCTCCTTAATCACTACGTGGTGTTGACGAACCGACCGAAGAGCCGGTTAAATGACCCGATTCGTGTACCTGAAGCGGGAGAATCGGGTGCCAAACGTCCATGAACCGACTCACTCCGGCTTTCAACCACTCATTCGTGCCCGCGCTTCAGTGAGCTCGAGCGCGCGATCGCTGGTCTTCTTCTGCGAGTCGCGGGCTGATCCAGCTCACCAGCGCCTCCACTGGAGCGGTGGTACAATCAACCAGGAAGTGGGCCGCCTTGATCGCGCACGACCGAACCGTAAGAGACTCCTGTACAGTTGGTGGCGGTGTACTGCAGAGATAGTCGTCTACCAAGAAACAGAAGAAGAAGAAAAGAACCGCGACAACCGAGTTGAACCGAGTTGTTGAAGCGCGGTTGCGGTGTGACCGTGAGACTCAATCACTGAATGCTGTACTACTAACGTGGAGAGACGATCCCATGAGCCATTGTATGTATCAGTGCATCGAATAAAACGCTGTGATGCAATTTTGCTATTTAATGTTTGTGTTTACAAAACACCACTTTACAGTAGGATATTTCGTGCATGACAGCTGTTTATAACGCAGTGCACCGTATTTAAGTCATGAGGTGACCGGTCCTGCACTTTGACTGAGAAGTTAACGAACTCTCGCCGAATGAAAATTAACGGCAAGTTAGGTCGGCTGGGTCAGGTCTACCAATTCACCACTCCCATTAGGTTAGGCAGGGAATATTTCTATCATGGGTTAGACATCGCGTGTAGCCTACTCGTTAACACATGCGGTGCACGCGATGTAAATGACCGGAAGAGACCGTGGAGACCGAGACCGCGTCAACCGAGGAGACCGCACACCGAGCTGCTGAACGAGACCGGATGTAACCGAGCAGAACTCGGTAGTCCAACCAACGACCGTCCGGTTGAACCGACTCGCATAATAGAGCCGGTTGTCCCGTCACTATTACTAAGGTGCTTCGTTTCGGTGTCTGAGCCGATTGAAAACCTTTATTTACACCGATCATGCAGCAGCTAACAGTCTGCCGCGTGTGAAGCTGCAGCAGTTTGCTGGTCATCCACCTTCCACGCCGCTGCGCGCGCGCGCACACAGGCACGTGCGCGTACACACCGGATACAGAGCGCGCGTCAGCAGCCCCCCTCCCGTCGGCCGGTCCGTTTCCCCCGAAGTTTAAACCGAGGTTGTGTCGTTGTTCCTTCCTGTTGTTTGTTATTAAGCTGCATTGAGCTGCAGACACGTGACTTTGTTTCCTTATGAGAATGACAGGAGATCGTTTGATTCTCTTCGTCTTTATTAACTAAATATACGATTAATAAATTCAGTCACACGGTAAAAAAAACTATTAGCTCTCGTGCTTAATGCACCTGCTGCAATAATGACGTCATCAAACAAGTAGTGTCAATAAAACATAAACACTTTTCCTGCACAATGAGCATAAATCTAAAATTAGATGATTAAAATTCACCAAATTCCAATGAACTAATACGTGCACTTCCGGCTCTTATAGACATGAAACATGTAATTATACTGTAAACAGTAAATATAGAGTGTTGTTTAAACAGTTAAAATGTTGTTCAAAAATGTCTTGCAAATGTCTTTCCTTTTTTTTGTCAATTGTCGGTTCAGGCACCGTTATTGTTTTAAGTATCGCTTTAGCACCGGTATTGGAAAAAAAATACCATCCCCACTGACGGGTGATTCCATAACATCTGGTGCATCACTAAAGACTATTTCTATAACCAGAGTGTGAGCTAACGTGAGCCTGATCACTGTCTTTTGTATTGATCCTAGCAAGATCAATAGCAGAAACAAAGCTTAGTAACAGTACTTATGGTATTGATCTGACCAAGTAGAGAAAAATGACATCCTCTTGACCGTCATGTATCACTGTGAGGACTGCAGTTAGTGGACAGATGTGTTGTTGCGGGTCTTCATCTGTACCGTATGATCACATCGTCAGCAGATCCTTTTCCCATCGGCCTTGTAGCCACAATCTCATTACATAATCAATGTCTGTCAAATCAACATTTATAGCTATCATTTCTGATGAAAATGATGCTACATTGTTCGTACTAAATACATCGCTTCAAATATGTATTTTCCAGGACCCAAACTGCCTGAGTGGTACAAAGAAATTGGCAAACAGCAGGATACAATTAGCTTACATTGATGATCACATGAGATGGACAAACTGTTTTAATGATACTGTTACAGCGTAAAGAATATCCAAATCTACTTGGCCCTGTGTGAAAATGTAACTGGAATTGAACTCAGCTTTCAAAAGATTTCATTAATCACAGTTCACTCAAGACACCAGGAAGGGGGCAAATACCTTTTCACTGTATATTCAGAGTTTTTGGGCCACTGGCTCATTGTTTAATAACTCGGTTGTGTCTGTCTCTCAAAACGGGTCTGCATGTCCTTCCAGGCAGGTGAGTCACGTGACCTCAGCATTTTACTCTCCAGATGCTCTGAACTCTGACCTTCCTCCAGGATGTGAAATAGAGCTTCAGTGTGACACGAGGAGACGTCTCGTCGTAGCGTGTGTGTGACACATTGTTGCAAACCGCGTTGTCTCCAGGTGGAGACGGCGGAGACTGGGGGGGGGGGACCCCGGACCCCCCCCAGAGCGGCGAAGGTGGCTTTGCCAAGAGGGAGGAGACAAGGTCACCTGAGGGCGAACAGGTCAGTATGCCCACTGGTAGACGGCACAACCTAGGTTTCCCTTAGCTCTGCTTCTCGTCTTTGGGTCGTGAAAAGAGTCTGACTGTTTCCTCGAGCCACCTGCTTTCAGTTTTTA